ACGTACACGTACACGACTACGACTACTACACTACGACTACACTACTACGTACACACTACACACACACACACACTACACACACACACACACACACACACACACACACACACACACACACACACACACACACACACACACACACACACACACACACACACACACACTATTGTATCAGCCACAACATTTGCTGCCTAGCTATGCACCCATTTTCTTTTTAAATATATAAATACTTTTGATAAGAATCCTGTAAATCTTAAATAAAAACTAATATTTCTGACACATATACATAATTTAAGTCCGTCCAAAATGTCATCACTTCATTATTTTATTCCATTTAACCCTATATATGGTATTGGTATATCGAATAAACAATACATTCACTCAATTGTATTCATTTAGAGAAGTATTTCCACTCAAAGGGGACTTTTCCTTTGTTTTCTTTGATACTTCTAAAAGCTCAGTGCAGTGGTCTATATGTGTTATTAAAGGCACTTAACTTCCTTATCTCAAATTAAAGAGTTGCTTAATTTAAATTGAGGGTGAAACATAAGGGTTGTAACCTAATTTTTGATTTGGGGCTTTACAAATGAAATGGACATGAATGAGAGAATGATAACAAAAATCACACTCAGTTGTTCGAGCAGGAATATGTAACTATAATCTTTTACCCAATTACACCAAAGCAGATTTGCTCAATTCAAATGCTATTCATATTCAATTATAATCAGAAAATAGCAGCTTAGATGGCAGCAAAAAAAGTGCTTCTCACTTCTGTAACACTTCCAGGTCATGTTCTTAACACCTCGCTCTGAAAATAAGTACGCTAACGAACTTTAAAAATAAACACGGACAGACGTTAGTGTGCGTACCTTGCTTTTGAGGATCAGCTGGAAGGAGAGGGTGCGTTTGCACGACAGGTTGGGGTTGCGCTCGGAGTCGTTAACACGGGCTTTCAGCACCCACGTCTGGTTGAGCACGGTGAAGCGCGGCGTCTCGTAGTACAGGCGGGTGATGAAGTCGTCCGTGCGGTACGGCCTGAACTGCACCTCTGGATGGAGCAGAGCAACCAGTTTATCTAATGTGAGGAAAGGATGTTCTTAAAGGGTAACTTCTGTATTTTCCAACCTGAACCACATTCAACCCCAACATAACTGTAGTGGATTTAAGGATAACATTGCTGTCCTTTGTGCGCATGCAGTGATCTAGCTCAATACTCCACCAATTTATATTGTTCTGCCCTCATTAGGCGCTTTCACACCAAGTACTTTTCCCAGGAATAGTTCCCGGAACTTTTATTTCCTGGAACTATCTAGTAAATCACGTTCACACCGGAATAAGTCCCTGAGGGAGGATCATGGGGAGGATTAAGCATATGGGATTGAGCAAATGAAGCCGCTGACGTCACTTCTTCTTCTTCTGCTTTAGGTTTACTGGCAGGCCGCAAACAACTTCACGGCGTATACTGCCACCCGAAGGCTCCGGCCGGAAGTCCCCGGAGTTGGGGGCTGGCTTCAGTAGAAGCTGCTGGGACTCCCAGCAGCTTCTACTGAAGACTTCCGATTAAATCGCCAGAACGCCGACACCTCCTCATCTCCACCGCTCCCATGTTTTCTTTTGTGTTGCCATAAGTTAGTCCCTCTCCGTTGGTGCGCTGGGCTAATGCTAATGCTGATAATGCTAATGCGAGTAAATAAAATGGCGGCTTCACAAAACTTTTCAGAGTTTTACGGGGAGTGGTTTGCAATTCGCCCAGCCAATCAGAAATTGGAACCTTTTTCTCCCCAGGAAAGTACCTGCTCTCTAGCAGGGACTAAAAAGGGGTGAAAAGGTTCACACAAAAAAGGTTCTAGTTCCAGATATTTTTGGTGTGAACGCAAAATCCCAGGAACCATCGGAACTATTCCTGGGAAAAGTACTCTGGTGTGAAAGCGCCTATTGGTCAATACAAAAACATACACAAATGTGCATTAAAAAGTTACCCTTTAAAGGTTCATTGCAGCATCCCATAACCCCCTCTGTTTCAGCCCTGTTTTAAAAAAGTGCTGATTCTCTGTCTGTTACTTTAGATGAAAATAAGGAGCCCCTCCCCACGCCCCTCTGTGAGATATTTGGTTAAAAAGAACACAATGGTGCTCTAGGAGGAGATCCAGTGGTGATTGGCTAATGGTTACACAAGCCAAAAAAACGTTATGACATCATAAAGTGGCCAAAATCTGATCAGCTCATTTTCAGACAGGTTTTTTATATAAATGGATCAGGACAAAAAGTGAGCAAATCTTTTTTCCTGAACCTTTCAGCATCTCTTTACACAGAGGGGACACATGTTTATGTATAAAAGACATGAGAAAGTGGATAGGTGACCATTAAGATTTTTCCCCACTCTATCATAATTTCCCTTTTAATTCTTGAAAGTACCTGTAAAGCCGATCTTCTCGTAGCAGAGCAGGCCGAAGATGCTGTTGTAGAGCTGCATGTCTCTGCGGTGGCTCTGGTCCATATCTCCCAGAATGCCCATCAGCTCCGTCCCAGTCTTGGTGGGGTGGGAGCACTCGCTCTCGTGGGCCGGCAGCTCTTGGAACGGACCCTTCCAGGGGCAGCCGATCCTCTTGTACTTACACTGCGTCACCCTGGGGAATAATAATGGTGAGGGTGAGTTAAAAGACAAACGTTGTACAATATATTAAATGTTAGAAAGATATTTACAGAGGAGCTTTTTGACAAATACATGTCCTTACCCCGCAGTGAGTGGAAGGTATAATAATACAGAAAGGAGGCTATTAACTTAGGTGTTGAACCGAGGCTAATTGTACGGGACAAATAATACATGTGTGCAGAGAGCAAACCTCAAGAAAGAAACTCTTCGATTGATATCAATTACATCCTTTCATTCTTAATGAATACCTGTTACGTACTCAGTTTAAAAGTGAAGTAATAATAATGTGTACGGTAATGGTTAGCCTCTGAAGTGAACCAAGAATAGCTAAAACCACACTTACGTAACTCACTTCCTGTTACCTGCGACTTTTGTCTCATACATACAACCAAGTAGCTTTAAGAGGTTTAGTAGTTTGGACTCAAATAACTTAAAAATACCTTTTATCACTACATGACAATTACTGATTTAGAAATTAATTTTCACTGTGAATTTATAACATCTGTGCAGGGACTACAGATACAACAATAGCTAACTCAGTAGGAAGATGTATTATTGTGCACTGCCCCTGTCTAATAAAACAAACAAAAAAGTCAAAATGTAATTTATCTGACATCTTTATATATATTCATCCCAATTTATTTTACACATCATTTTCCTTGTTTGGAAATTGTAATGTATTTTATTATTTGAGAATGCTATTGGCTGCTTTGTAATACCTTTTTATTTATTTTTCATTACACTTTCCTCCTTTTTGTTATTGAATAAATGATCGTATGAGTGTAACTAAAGGTTGAATGAAAAGTAACAGTGGCATTAATAAAGGAGATAAACAGCGTCATCTGTATTAAAGAAGCAGTCGGATCCTCGCCCCACATTTTTCCATCTGACCCGACCAGAAACCTGGTGACTGCCTTGGACGTTGTCATGGCAATATTAGCACGGGCACAGCTGTCCTGAGCAGGGTCACCTGTTGCTATAGCAACAAGCCCATAGGATTTCATGCATTATAGCTCAAGCAGCCTGAACGTCACAAAAACACACACTCATAAGCAAACACACACGCAGTGGATCACATCAGCTGCTTTCCTTCCTCAGAGTTAGCAGCTGGTCACATGCTCCGCCATCTTCCCCAAATTAACTCTGTGTGATCTTCACACACACACACACACACACACACACACACACACACACACACACACACACACACACACACACACACACACACACACACACACACACACACACACACACACACACACACACACACACACACACACACACACACACACACACAAAAAGACAAAGATACTACTGGCAATTTTGTGTGGTGGTATGCACTCAGCTTTTATTTTAATGTTTCCATTTTCTTTAACTTTCAGCTTATCTTTTTAAATACCTTCACTCCAGCTTGGAATATTAATTCAAGCTTGATAACTCTTCCCTCAATGTCTCTCAGTATCACCCCCTCAGTGCCATCTTTGGAGTTATTTTTGAAATGTTGGCCGAACCTTTCCTTAAAGGTCCCATGTCATTCTTTTCCGGTTATTACCCGTCCCCTTGTGTGTTATGAAGGTTTTTATGCATGTAAACGGTCTGCAGAGTCAAAAACCCTCAAAGTACACCCTGTTGCGAGTAAAACTCTAACACAGAAAAGATCTGTCTGCCCCAGAACGCCTCGTTGGAGATTTCTCATTGTCTATTGAGAAACCAATGTGAGTTTGGAAAATTGCACAATATAAATCTATTTTAGTATAACTCAACAATGGAATTATGATCAGTAGAAATGGCCATGACATGGGCCCTTTAAGGGTCTCTTGACATCTCTTCCCAAAAATGTTTGTAATTTAGGGCATGTCCAAAATATGTGGGTATAGTTACCAATTTGCGAACCACAACTTCTCCAAGATGTATTAGAGCCTGTGTAGGGAAAAGGTGAGAGTGTGTGTGTGAGTTTGTGTGTGCTGTATACCTGTCTTGGCAATCCTCTTTCTGGTGTCTCTCTAGGCTGGAGCGGGGGAACTGTTTTGTGCAGTAGGCACACTCTGTCGGCAGCTCGCTGACAGCCTTCTCCACGGCCAGGTTCCTGCAGCACAGGTTCTTGCTGATCTCACACCTACACACACACACACACACACACACACACACACACACACACACAGGAAGCCACATGTCACCCCTCAGTGCAGTATAACATTTGTGGTATGTAAAGAATGTTTGTGCAAGTTCTTGAACAATGCACAGTGATGAATTGCTAGTTACGTTATGCTTTGGCAACAGTTGGTGGTTATTTCATCATATTGCACATGTGTGAAATTACTGTCAACGTGCAAAACCAAAACAAGTTATCTCTTCCTGTGACCATGCAGTAGTGATGAATGTGAGAGTATGCAATGCATTTTGATTCTGAGAACTTAATGAATTTAACTAGCTTTTGAAGGCATCTTACAGTCATTACTGTAATAATGTTGTTCTGCTGTTTGACATCATTCTTACCTTGCATTAGCTCAATTAAATATGAGTTTTTTTCAACTCCAGTTGGTATTAGCGAGCATCACATACTCCCTGACTGAGAACTTCGAGACAAACAAATCGGGTTTTTGGATCATGTATTTAATTGGATAAAATGATATATATTGTCTACATTATTTGTCCAGAAAAGTAGTTATTCTCTACTTAGTGTCTGTGCACAGTATAACTGTTTTCAAACAGCAGTATGGGAACATATGAGAATGCGTATAACCAAAATGTAATATTTAAACCATACAAAATGATCTAGTATCATTAATTTAATTATTTAACAGTCCCTTATTCTATAGTACTTCTCATTTCCCTTCCCCCCCCGCCCCCAACTTGTTTTGAGATGAATGTCACGTCCCCCTGAGTTGATTGGAGGGTAATTCAGAACACCTGTGTTCAGGGTGTGGGGACAAGCTGCTGATTAAGAATTGACAGCAGCTTGATGTATTGCCCCTCCTGGCCAATCAGGGTGTGACAACGCCCTTTCTTTAGGGCTTAAAGGCACAGTCACACCTGTGCTCCCCTTCCCCAGTTCAATTCCATTCCATGAGAGCAAAGGGGCTTTGAGTAGAGTTCAACTTTGGTGAACTTTACAAAAATATCGCCTCAACTGTCCCTGGCCTGCTTTGGCTCCTACCTGATACAGGTAGGTCACTGTAAAAACAGGGCATTTTGATCCTTCCTCCACTTAATACAAACCTCATGCTAGCAGATATTGACAGCCAGAAACTCTAGGCACATTTGAGCTGTGTTTGCTGTCTTGACTCTTCTGATTGAAGTTGATTTTTTTTTAATGAAATCTAGATTGAGTAAATATTTAAAAATAACTTTCCACCTGCATCAGGGCGGATATTAGCACCATTCATGCAATAGTTTAGACATTTTCTTAAAATTGAAGGTACACTTTTTTTTCTCATTGTGACACACTTCTGGGATTTGTACATATTGTATGTGGTTTGAAAATGAGTTATCCGGCTTCCTCCCATCCTGCTCGAAGTACCTGCAGTTGGGACACGTGGCCTGTTCCTCCTTGAGACGAGAATCGGCCAAAAGGTGGATGAAACAGCCTGCACACATCAGGTGTCCATTGGAACACTGTGGTGGGAAAAAAGACGAGGGCACAATCAAACTAAGTGTTTAAGGAAAGTTAAAAACAATTATTATATTCATTAATCTGGATCCTAAGTGGGAAGTAGTGCAATCTAAACTTTCTCTTGTTACTTAAATGTAAACCTATATATTTTTTACAAATAGGATTCATTGAAACAGTATTAATTTGGACATCTTGAATATTATATTTTGGTTAAGTATTTTAGAAGAAACGGGATACTAATCTTAGAAATGTTATTTATATTTCAATCAAAAGGCATAATTTGTTCGGTTAATGCCAGTCTTTCTTAATAAAAGTCATAAAACAGGATTGTTTAAAGCTGCTAAAATCATTTGAGTAGCAGAAAAGCAGAAGGAACAGAAGTATTTCTGTAGAGCGGATATAACTGGAGTTGTATACTTTTCTATGTGAAAAAAAATAGGGATATATGTAAGATATGTGGACTACTTGTTGTGCTTCTCTTAATCAACGCATTTTAAGGGCAGAATATTGTGTAAGGAGAGAATGTCATCTTGTGATAACACAGTATTGTTAATAAATGGTAAATGACTGTTTTAACGTGTGAATGCCACGTAAATGTTTAGGACTAACTAAACAATTATTTACTACCACTGTGTTCACTTGACATTGAAGAGAGCACTTTGAGGTCATGGAGAATGTTTGGGTCGGTCAAAGGGCAAAGGTTGAATAAAATTAAAGTTTTGGTTAAGTGCTCGATGTTTCTGTTTTATGTGGGGGTTGGGGATGTGGCTTTGCTGAGGGTTATTCGGGGATAATTCACAGTATAATGTTGTCATACAGCTGGCCCTCGGCCTGACTGCTCTCATGGCTCAGCTTGCAGCACTGGGGCCTGTATTGTATCTAGTATCAGTAAAAACGGAGCTGGCCAACACATTCAACAGGTTGGGGATCAGCAGTTAGCACACTTTGGGGTGTCTCTAGTATGAGGTCCAGCTTGTTTGCTGTTGTTTGACAGTGTTTTTTTTAGGATTATTGTGAGGGACCGTAGGTTTGTGATTGACACCGTGTTTACCTGATATACAGACGCCTTGGGCAAGTCTATGCACACGGTGCAGCACAGCACTGAGTACAGCCTCTCCTCCAGCTTTCCTGACTCTCCATCGGGCACTCTCACCCTCTTCTTGGGTGGCTCGTCTGGGTCAGGCTCGGGCCCTTCTCTTCGGATACCGACCTCCTCCTGCATGGCTGCGACCCCGGCGACAGCCTCAACCGCTGCCCCCACGGCCCCGACCCCCATGCCGGCCGAGGAGGAGCCAGGGGCGGCCACACCGTCTCTCTCTTCCAGTGAAGACATGACGACGGCTGTCTAGATATTTCTGAGGTGTACCTGCCGCTGAGCCTGAAATATTAGCAGGTTAGCTCAGTGCTAGCGTACAACCTGTCAGGCTAACGGTCAGCTGACAGCTAGCTAGCGTCGGCTAGGCTAACGCTCCGGCAGCAGGCTGTCAGAGAGGAATGCAGACTAACTTATTATTATTATCAATGCCACCCGCCACTTAAAATGTAACAAGCCAATGTGTTATAACGAGATCATGTGCAAAATAACAACTTAATTAGACTAGTTGTGTTGACTTACAGTGAGACTAGCAGACTATGCGGCTAGCTACGTTGACAAAAACACAGCAGTCCTCTCCCTCTGCAGAACAAAAACAACTCAGCTCGGCTCTCAGCTGTTGTTGCTCTCGACGCCGTTATTCGCCCTGACAGCAGATTACAACGATGTACACCGGTGGCCCAGCTCGGCTCCTCATCTACCCTCCCTGCTCCGGTACCGACTGACTGTCCGCAGAGTACCCACTGGACCTGTCGATGATTAAAGCCGCGGGTAGAGAGTAGAGACAGTTCTGCTGGGACTCGTCTCTCTGGTTACACAGCCATCTTTGTTTTTTTGTTCCTGTCCGTCTCCCCCGACTTCACCCTGCACAGCCTTAACGACTGCGGGTCAAATTCGTTATTACTCAGGCAGGTTCTCGATGGTGGCTAATAAATAATGTCATCACAAGTTAAATATGCTGTGTCTCCAACGGCCTGTATGTGGCAGTGACTACTTCAGCACAGCCGTGTGTTTGGCTGACAGCGGAATGTTTATTATGGCAGATGACTTGGGGTATTTAAAGAGTTTTTAATCGCGCATGCGTAGAAAGCACCTGCGGGTCAGTGTGTATGGCAATACGTGAAAGGTGATCAAAACCTGATATGTGACAAAAATTAGGCCCCTCCATCAGAGGACGCATAGTTTATGTACTATGGACGAGACGTACACATTATAACACTTAATGGGATTTCTAACAAAACTTCACAACAACAAAACACCTTGTCTCTGCTGCCATGTGTAGGCCTGTAGCTCTGTACGTGGCAGCAATCTATCAAAAGTGGTTCAACTGGTTGTAAGGGGCCCTGTGTTTGTGTGTTAAAGAAGCATTAATAATTCAGCCAGAAAAACAGGGTGATGAAAGAAAAACCTTGGCAACTGATACTATGTCAGAAACATTTATAAGCTTATAGTCATCTCTTTAGTGCCACTGATATGTGGCTTAGCAGCCTCAGGGACTGGGAGGGGCACATTTGTGTACAGGGTGGGGGGCTGTGTGTTTGTCCTTGGTGTTAGTCCTTAGGTGGGGCAGGATGTCAAAGTGTCAGCTGTCTACAGTCTACATTTGGGAGGGACAAGACTAACCACTCCCATTGGACAGACAGATAAGCCTTATTTGGCTGTGGAGCTATACCACCCTCAGCTATGCATGCAGTTCAGCCTCTAGATGTTATCATACACTGTCCTCCAATAAATACACTGGATCTTACCACACATTTGTCAACATATTGTCAAAGCTTGATAATGTACTGGCGGAGGTTACGGAGGCACTGTAATCATCACATGGTTACAGGGCTACAGGAATATCCATTCAGATCAGTTTGTTGTCAAACAAACCAGTACAAAACACGAAAAATAAACAGTCAGAAAGATGGCATTTAAGAGTTTAGTAAATATGGCAAACTTTTACCAGGACTAAGATGAAAAGTTTTCTATACAAATACGTTTAGTTTATGATGGTATAGTAAATAAATGTTGCTAGATAAACTATCCCATCACAGATTTCTAGGAATTGACTTGAAGGGGATGGGTTAGTGTCCAAACACAAGCAATTTAAAAATAGCTTCCACTCGGACTGGCAGACACGATAACATATCAGATCCTCAAAGTTAAACATGGCTTTCAGGAAGGTTAAATGTAACAACCAAAGCACAAACACTACAGACATGTACTACAAAGTAGGTTCATGGTTACAACACAACTTTAGAAACAATGACAAACTGCAAAAGTTTTAAATCAAAGTTCAAACAAAGTCTCATAATCTATGATTGCAGGACACACATTTATAACGTTTATCTAGCCTCGTCAATCAGACCCTCATCAATCCCAGCAGAGTAAATCACATCATCTGCAGGTCATTCAATGATTCAGCTGCCAGGAAATCAGCGGTATTGTCCGGCACAATGAAAGTGATGATCCTGATCTAATCACATGGTTAAGCAGGAGATTGACATTGAGGCCCAGACTGCGCGGCTGGCTGGGTGTTGGTGGTGCGAACAATCGGTTTGTCGTAGTTTTCAGCTGGGTGGTGTGCGCTGGCTGTGGTGGGGTTGTGCATTGAAGAGGTGAAGTTCTGCTGATGTAGAGAGTGAGACACCGCTGCTGGATCGGAGGATGGGTGGGGATGGGTTGAAAGACCGGTGGGAGTTTGTGGAGCTGTTTTGGTGGAAGGCGGTGAACATGGAGGTGAATACTGTTGGTTTTGTTTAGAGGTTGTCTTTATATGGGATAAAAGCTCATCTTGGGCTCGGGGGGCATCGAGTTGGTTTAAGTCAACACTGGTGCTAACTGGAGACGGAGATTCTGATGGATCCTGTGTTTCTGGTGTGCTAGAAGAGCCAGAGTCTGGTTTCTGTTCACCAGGTGTGGCCTCTGGAAGTGGGTGTGCTTGTATCTGTGGAGATATGGTGTAAACTGTCCTTGTCTTTTTTGATGGTTGCCGTGGTGTTTTGTCTTCATCAAGGCTTCCTCCCAATCTTATCTCTGTTTGTTTATCATCATGCCTGCTGAACTCTGTACGTGTGGCTTCTCCCCCGCTGCTGATGTGTCCTCTTGGTGTCATTGTTTCTGCTGCATTGGTCTGGGCTTGTCTCTGGACTTGTCTGGGCTTGTCTGGTTCTGCTCCAGCATCTGTTGTGTCCCTCTGAGTTTTGTCTATGAGCGCCCTCTGCGTGCAACCTGAAGCCATAGCCTTCACCCAGGGGTGCAGCAGGGTCTGCTCGGCTGTCAGCCTCACTGCAGGGTCTGGCTGAAGCAGAGCTCGGACAAGGCCTTTGGCTTCTGCACACGCACGCACGCACGCACGCACACGCGCACGCACACACACACACACACATACACGAGAGAATAAGAAACAAATTGTTTGTTTATGTTTGTGTGTATATGCATTTGTAGCAGCACACTTTATTTGTCTGTACTTGTCACCTTCTGAGATGGGGTCCCAGTAGGGGGGCAGGAAGTGGAGTTGTCCCCGTTTTATCAGCTGGAACAACTCTTCCTGGTCTCGATCCCGACTGCGAAATGGGGGAAATCCACACAGCAGGACGTAGAGGATAACACCCAGAGCCCAAACATCCACTGCAACACCATAACCTGTGGGGTCAAACCACATTTAGTTTGTAAATACCCCTAAAATCAGATGAAAGTGTTCGGAAGAGCTTTAAAACAAGAAACCTTGTTTTTCAGTGATGCATATACAGATTTAAAGTAAAAAGGAAGTGATTTGTAAAGCTAACGGCACCAACCTGTCTCACAGAGGATCTCTGGGGCTACATACGTGGGTGTGCCACATATGGTGAACACTGGCTCAGTCACAACCATGGCGAGACCAAAGTCTCCCAGCTTCAGCCTAAAGATGCCAGAAGCCACACGCTCTATCTGAAACGGAACAAAACAACAACAAACAGATTGAGACATGGAGGTGTTGACACTTTCTTTTTTAAATTCAATTCCTTCAGGATACGTGGTTGTTACAGACACTTGGATTTTAGTTTTTTGCAAAATGTTGATAGCTTGTGTCACCACTTTAACTCCAGATTAAGTTAGATACTATGAATTGTACTGGTATTACAATATCACAATGTGGAACAGTCTATGTGAACCGTTGCCTACAATAAAGATGGTTTTAGTGTTTTAAGTTTAAGTAATCTTCATGTTAATCCCGTACAAATTGACATGAAATTCTCAAATCCCACTGACACTCACCAGAAGGTTTTCTGGTTTGAGGTCTCGGTGGACGATGCTCTTGCAGTGGATGTAGTTCAGTGCTCCGCTCACGTCTGACACCATCAGTCCTGTTTCGGCCTCTGGAAATGTCCCCCTCTCACTGATGGCCTCAAACAGATCCCCCCCGCTCACCATCTCCATCAACAGGTACGAGTGAGTGTGCGTGTGGTGGTGCGCAAACAGCCGTACTATGCGAGGGTGACAGAGGCTACCCAGAAGGCTCAGCTCGTTCTGCATCATGTGCTCTCGACCAATCAGCTTGGAGCGTTCAACAATCTTCACAGCAAGGATTTGTCCATTGTCACGGCGGCGGCACTCTCGCACTACAGCGAAGTTACCATCTCCAACAGCACGTCCAATTTCATAGCAACGCTCGATATCTGCCAGAGTGACATCACTTCCGCCTGATGAAAGGTCAAAGGTCGGCCTCCTCTGTATGTCCTTGTGTATTTGATCCTCATCTGGGAATTGATTTGAGACTAATTGGGCAACGCTCTTCTCCTCTTCTCTGCTGATTGGCTGAGGAGGCGGAGGGCTGTTGTGAACATTCAACTTTCTAACTTCCTGATCTGCATAAGAACTTCCTTTTTGCTTCCTCAACACTGGAGGAAGTGGGACCCTCCCTGACAGGGGAGTGAGCCGCTCTGGACCCTGACGTTTAGCTCTTCTTGTTAAGCATTCTTCACACAGAGTAGGAAAAGGTATCTCTTCTTCTCTAAGAGCTTCATCGTGTTTAAAGGGACCAATGACAGACGTCAGCCGCTCTCTGGCCTCGCCCCTCACGTGCAGTCTCTGCAGGTGGTTTGGCAGGTGAGAAGGTTTTCTGCATGAGTTCTTTTTGTGACACTTCTGAACGTCTGGGTTGTAATTGTCGAGCTGGTGTGCATTTATATGCTGTGTACTTGTGTGTGTGTTATTGTGATTTTTGACATGATGTGCATCTGTGTCCTGGTGTGCCTCTTGGTCAGTGTGTGTCTCACTGCTGTCTGTCCCTTCACTGTATCCACTGTCGGCTTTAGCAGCTTTATCTGGCGCTGGTCGAAGTCTTTTCTCCCAGGCCCGTATTGCGTCAGCCCGGTAATGAGATTGTTCTGGAAACAATTCCTCCAGAGCCTCCTGCACACCGCTTAGCTCTGGACGAACCTTCCCTAGGGCCAGAAAAGCCACTTCGCCTCGGAAGAAATCACATATACCTTTCACCTATGGAAAAAAATTAAGAAATTGTGTTTTTGTTAGAGTTTAGGTGCTAGAGGTAGAGAGCGATGCTTTTCTTGAGGGGCACAATCACAAGCGGCATAATTTCTCTAAAAATGCCGGTCAGTATGACAGCAGAAAGCCACTGAGCAATATGTTTGTGCCTTAGAGTGTATATAGATCAAATGAATTGGAGTTTTTCTCCTTGCAAGTGGTGCTCCTACAGAATAGATCAACCTAGCCTAGCCCAGTGTGGAGCTCCTGGGTAATTAGATGTTGAGAACTGTCTTTAAAGAGCTCTGTATAAAGTTAAATCTGTCTCGCACAATCGGAAGTTGCCAAGCGAATATCATGCAAGTCAAGTCTGGATTACCAACTGCGAAAAGAGGGTCTCTGTCATCTAGTTTCAAGATATTATTTAGCATTAATGCGCATATGTGTCCCATAACTAGTACTGCACAGCCAAACTGAGGGGAAGGTTCAAACTGCAGAGCATGCAGGAATAATGTTGAAATGATTATAAGCAGCCCTTCTGTGTATTACGGTCTGGTTGAGCTTCACCTCTCGTGCGTGGGTCGTGTAAAGGCGTGTGACTCTGGCTCTGTGCCAACGAGGAAACCCCAACGCCTCAGAGATATCCAATAGCAGTTGCTCGAAGGACACCACACCTCTGCGGTTCAACAGGACTGTTACCTTGAAAACAGAGACAAAAATCATGTTTAAATTATGAAATCCATACCCATGTAAATTACTCTGTGTGTTTAAAATTAAATGAGAACATATGGGTTGCCAGGTTGTGAAAATTCCCTCTGCATGCGTTTGGGTATTTTTTGTTGATCAGGAAACCCCCACAGATTGACCACAATGCTGCAAAGCAACACCACTATTATACTGTTTTTCATCAATATATTATAGGTCTCAGATATATACAAAACATGTCTCTGAAGTGTTTGGCTCCAAACTCCAAACAGGTCATTGCAGCATCCCATAATCCCCTCTGTTTCAGCCCTGTTTCAAAAGTGCTGATTCTCTGTCTGTTACTTCAGATGAAAATAAGGAGCCACTCCCCACGCCCCTCTGAGAGATATCTGGTTAAAAAGAACACAATGGTGCTCTAGGAGGAGATTAAGGTGATATGGGGGGGGGGTTACCTTGGTTGGTGATTGGCTAATGGTTAGACAAGACAAAAAATCGTTAAGACATCACAAAGTGTATATATAAGTGGATTTTGCATAATAGGTGACCTTTAATGTTTATAACGTCAGGCTTGGTGGCTTATTTATAAGCGTAAAAACCATTCAGAATCATCATGTTACAAACATTTATTACTATTACCAAATTGAAATGGTAACCACCCAGCCTTTCAAGCCAAACATGAGTCAAATGACACCTTAAATGTTCTATGTTACATTAATCATCTATTGATTAACCATTAATTAAACTATTAGTTACAACCTATAAACCTTGAATATAATATTTTAATTCCCTTTTTCAAATAGCTAAATCTCACCTTGCGCAGAGTACTTTGACCACAGGGCCGTATGATGGTGACCAGATGGGGCCTCTCTGCGCTCTCTTCTGCATGGCGGGTGTGGAAGAGAGGGAGGGGAGGAGGAGGAGGGGGGAAGTGGGACCTGTGGACATGTGCCGCAGGGTGGGGCTGAATGGGCCAAGGTTGGGGTGCCCCACCAGCACGCTTCAACAAGGGGACAGGAGGAACTGAACGCGGGTAGAAATGGAGGATAAGGGTGACAGCACAAAGACAGAAAGCAAGAGTGGGATTATTGAAAGTGCGCTCAATAGCGCTGATGTCGTCATATTGTTTCTTCAAGACTTTTGTACAAAGGAAAATTCATAAGTAACACAACACCAGTTCGTCATCGTGTTAGTGTGTGTGCGCGCGTTTGGGAAAACAAATCCGGCTGATCAGATTTTAGTGTTTTCCATCACACGGAGTGCATGGCCATTTGAGATTCTTCAAACACCTGGCTGAATTATTTAGGTTTCCTTAAGTCATGCACACCCACACACACAACTACACAAAAGCTTGCCTGACCTGGTTAGGGCTCAGCTGAATATGCATCATTGATGAAGCATTAGAGACACACACAGCATCTTTGACGTTTCACTTTCTGGCACCGAGGGAGGCAGAGAGATGCTATCTGTCCAGCCAGTGGGGGTTTGTTTTTTGTTTTGAGATGCAGAACAACAGACAGAAACACAAGACCCGTATACTTCTAATCGACCAGTGACCCCACATTTAACCAGACACCATTGCCCCCCTGAGAGAGAGGGCACAAACAATCACACAAAGTCTTATAAATTAAAGTTAGGACACAAAAAAAAACGTCCATGTCCTAAACTTAAACATCTTATAAAGAACCAGCTGAGGTCATCAAGGAAAACTGACAAAGGATTTTCTTGGCTCATTATTTGTGTTTGTGTGGTTGTATATTAGTATAAGTAAAAGTAAAATCACATGTTTCAAATCATAATAGTTTACATTTTCATACCTCACAGCTAAATGAAATGAATTGACTTATTAATTTGTCAAAACTTGAGTTACAAATATGAATCTTCAATGTATTTCAACTGGAAAGAATGAAATTATCTGTAACCATCTGTGAAATTGGCTATGACCACACTATATTTGAAAAGAGTAAAAGGCTGTGACCCACATTGCACTCCATTTCATTTAGCTGTGAGGTATGAAAATGTAAACTATTATGATTTGAAACATGTGATTTTACTTTTACTTATACTAATATACAACCACACAAACACAAANTACTCCAGATGGAACTAAAGTCTGATTTAAGACTTGATTATATTTCACATCATTCATCCAGATCTGTAAAGTAACTAAAGGCATTAAATAAATGTAGTGGAGTAAAAGTACACCATTTACCTCAGAGCTGTAGTGGCGTAGAAGTACAAAGTAGCATCAAAGTAAAGGACAAATATCTCAACATTTTACTTAAGTACAGTACTTGAATAGGTGTACTTAGTAACTTCCCACATCTGAAATCAGATATGACTTCAAGTCATGTGATAATTTATTAGCATTTGATCCTTCAACTTGGCCTCAGGAAATGCAAGGACTTCACAGTTTTGACAAGTGAAGGATACACTGAGGAGGACCACGCTTCGTGTGGGGTGAGTACCAAACGCTGTCTCCTGGTACTCATCTGAGTAACTCACTAAAAAAGTTATGCACCCCTGAATAGAATACATTAACCGTGCTTTACCTGAACCTCATCATGACACTAGAGAGGACGGCAGGATTGTAATTTCCCGTGTTCATTGAATGCAATTGTTATGTAAAAGATTATTTCCAAGGCACACCTTCATATGATCATTATAAAAAAAATGAAAAACAGTTATGAAATACTATATGACATTAAAACAAGAATAAAGTTTAAAAGGAGTGATTTGTAAAATATCCATAAAGAAAAAGAAAATCTGTTTACAGTTCTGTTTCAAATGGATGTATCCATAGATCTCTTCATGTTGCTTTCAAAGTGCACCAGATTGATGCATTTAACTTCAATATTTAAAAAAAAAAATCTTCCCGGGGGAGCATGCCCCCGGACCCCCCATAGAGGATGTTAGGTCAACTCCCCACTTGTAAAAATAGCACTTTACCCCTGCTTACACCTATATTCCGTGAGCTGATTATCGAGCCTTCATTGTAACAGTCGCGGGTACACTGTGCGTGTGCGGAGTGTTGCAGTAGAAAATTCCACTGTAGCGCCCAGTACCTTAATGGGAAACCCTACATGTTTGAGCACCCTCTATGAAACGTCAAGCTACCCCACAGCACCCCCAAAAGAAAATCTCTGGCGCCGCCACTGTGGGCTAAGCCCCTAATGTTTCCAGGTCCAGGAAACACCCCCTGGTTGCAACCAAAATATGAAACTCGACGAGTTTAAATGTTATAAAGAGCATATTTATTTACAACTAAACATGAATACACCTAAAACAAACGTTGAGTCAGTTACTGGGGTATGGGTTTGTGAAAATATGCAACAGGCGAACCAGCAGCTGTGTCCCAAAGAACAGTGGGCTGAACTGAGGGCTGGTGTTGGGCTTTTTATCCAACCGACCTGGATCACCTGAAAGACAAACAAATGCCAGCGAGGTAAGAACACAGATAGAGTCCCCGAGTGGAGGGGGTTGTTACAATTTAATTAGATTCATTTAAAACTCAAGTTCTAAAATGTCTTGTCGTTTATGGTATTAGGAATGTTTTCATGGCCAGGCCCAGTGACGCTCCAGTCCTTGCATTAATGATCAAACAAAGCAAATACGTTTAGTTCCCAAAATGTCAAACTATTCTTTTAAAACCAATACCAAAGTCATAATGCCAAGTGCCCCTCAAAGATGCAAATAAAGAAGTGACATTTGCAAAACATACAAAGGGTTGAATATGAATCAGTCCTCACATTGATTCGTAATGCACACAGCAGCATTGATCAACAGTACAAACATCTACTTATCATCTGATGAAACTCCCCCATCTGCAGATGGTCTGATGATCTCTGGAAGTTGTGCAATAACACACATTAATATGATTTCCACACACACACACACACACACAGACAGACAGACAGACAGACAGAGAGAGAAAAAGCAGGGATTGAGGGGTAAAGTCAATATCTATTACTGTCCTCACATCACACAATGTTCCACACCCTGTCCCACTGCCCTTTTCTCCAGTTACCTCCCTTCTCTCTTTTCCAATGATGTACTGTATCTAAACGGGCACATGTGTCTGTGACAAATCATTAAAGCGCAAGGGTATGACATTTGCCTCAAACAGGTGTGTGTGTGTATGCGTGAGAGAGAGTGAGAGAGAGAGAAAGAGGAGGTGAAAGGTTGAAATTGTTCGGCTCTGGCCTAAAATACGTCCACATGCTGTCTATGGGTTGAGTTTACCATGTGTGTGTTTGATGTTGTGGAATCCTGATATATAGTGTTCTGGGATGCCACTAAGGCCATAACTCACATTGACTTGGATTTTTTACAGCAGTTACATGCAAGACATTCCCTACTTCATAACGGCTTCTAACATGTGAAAAGCTTAAGCTGTAGGAAAATGTGCACTCACACACATAAGTGCAAATGAATGAGCATAAATGGCCACATATATTAGCAGCGCCTCTATTTGCTTTTTGCAGAATCTTAGCTCCGAGATGAACTTGTCTGATCTTGTGTACATAACACAATCAATCTTTCAGGCTAAACTACTGCTGAGGTTGATGACCTAAGACAAGATAATAACCCCTATACTGTCCAGGCACCCTGCACTGCTTGTGTTTGGCATTAACACACACTGCTTTATCCAGGCAGGCCTTTGTGAGCGTATCCAAGCATGTGTGTCTAAAATATTGAGCTGACATGTGCAGAAAGCTGGAAGCGTGGGATAAAATGCTTGAACAAATTAAGGAGGAGTGGGAGTGCCATACCGAGAAATATTGATTCTTCTTCCAGCTTTCATGCAGCTGTCCTGTGCATCTGTGTGTGACTGTGAATAATACAGCAAAATAAACATCTGGACATGCCGCTCCCCTTCTGCAACGGTTTGTTGAGACATTCATTCTGCGGCCGCTCCTCACGCTCATCTGAATAATTTCTCATGGCCTTGTTCAAATGGAGCCCGAGTGCCAAGATAGAAAGTTAATTACATGAATGGAGGGGTGAAAGCTTCAGTGTCAGGTCTCTGCATGACTGGTTTCAGAAGGAATTGTAGACCTTTAAAAATACATTACTGTTGGGTAACATGCAGAGGCACATTTTTTATAAACTATAAGTATATACCCTGTAGCTAATGGTTACATTAATGTTTAATGGATATAACTCATTAAAACTGCATTTCTTAATGAGACATTTTTAGAAATGGGGAATTGGCTTATTTTCAGCAGTTCTTTTCGACAAGCATTGTTGGTAATTTACACAACCGTTGTACTTTAAACCTTAGGTAATTGTAACTATAATGATATTTTCATGAAAGGCTACTTTATAATTATACTTAGCTACATTTTTGTAACCTTAGGCATCTCACTGAGTAACTAAACTACTACAAAATCTAAATACAAAATGAATTATGATTTATTATTATGGATAAGCTATCTGACCAATATGATAAGTCCACCCCTTAGCAAATTTCACTAAATGGGAAAACAAAGGGGGAATTTATTTTACAACCTGGCAACCCGGGTGCCTCATTAGGGGCTTTTGACATACATTGAACTGCAATGTAGTGTGTGTGAGTGTGAGTGGGGGTGTGTGTGTGTGTGTGTGTGTGTGTGTGTGTGTGTGTGTGTGTGTGTGTGTGTGTGTGTGTGTGTGTGTGTGCGCGCGCGCGCGCGCGTGCGTGCAGCCTATGAAGATGAGCCTGAGACTGCATTCCTTGAGTTGTTCTGTGAGTCCTCTGGTGAGCCAGCCGCAACCTAAAAAAGAGGAAGAAACAGTCCGTCAGTCTTTCAAGGATGCAACATGTATTCAATATTTCAGATTACCCTGTTTCTTGGAATTCATTTGGTGGAAAGAAAGTTGTGAGAATCAAACCTTTATAATGCATGCCACGATAGGATTCTACATTTGTATCCTAAAACATAATCTTGATGTAATTACAAGATGAGTTGTCTCTTGTTTATCTAGCTGGGTAGTTCTTCCAGGGAAACACTCTACATGCCTGTGGGCAGCTGCTGTGGCTGCTGGGATACACTGCAGACACACTCCTCCCTCTGCTGGACACATACTAGTGGTGCATCATTAGTGTATTTCCCTTGTGGTCAAACCACCACTCATAAAATGTGAACTAAATGAAAACGAAATGTCTGCTATTATGAGACTCTTAGTCCTGTGTAATAACGAGATGACCATCAATCTCTTCATAAAATAAATAAGTAATAATCAATTTTATAGTAATCCACCCGGAGAACTCCTCGTTTTCACCAGAATCTTGAAATTATGAAAACACGTGTTCCTCTGGTTAAGATCCTGGCTATATAATCACAATTTCCTCTGTTTAAATCCAGCTGCAGACATGTTGCATGTCATCTCATGGACACTGGTCAAGCTATTTTGTTTCCTTAGCATATATTCTTTCAGACTAAGAGAACATTGAAAAAACCTGTTAATATACGTTTAAACTACACTTTGTCTATGAACATCTGTATATTTAAATGTACTAAAAAGGTAAGCATAACATTTATCTTATTTCTACTTGTTAAAAACCTGATATTTCAAAAACCTATGACGTTTAACATAATACAACAACTAATTGCTTTCATATAATTAATCAGATATGTTTTCGAAACAGAAGACAGAACACCTATAATAATATGGGGAAAATAAATGGATGGTTTTGGATAATCACTATTTGGCACTTTTATTGTTCAGACACACTGTCGGTTCTCGGTAAGTCCAGGATGCAAAGCCGGAATAGGATTTGTTGCTGACAGATTCCACAGTAACAGTATCCTTGGAGACAGAGCCATGGGGGGCAGCGTATTAAAAGATCAACCGGACACTGAGTGTGAATTTTTTTGTGTTGGTGTGTGAGGCTGAGTATTGGATTCCTTCAGTGAAACTATGGTAACTCCCCCCCCTCTCTGTCATTGTGATTTTACACCATAACGTCTTTCCAGTCATTCCAGTCCCAAAAAGGTTTTGTATGACAATGTGTTTTTTAGTATCCCTCACTAACTCTCCAGTTAACACAGAGACAGGTTTTCACATGGCAGATGTTACCATTGGGGAAATATAAGGGAAGTCCATGAATTTGCAGGTTGTACATCTGAGCAAGAGTTTACTTTCTAAAAGTGCACACTATACTAGGCTAAGTTGTGGGTTTCTGTAAGCCTTTTTCTAAGTAATTAGACGCATTCTTACGTCTATATAGTGAATGTAGAGCAGACATTAAATGAAGGCAGAGAAAGACGGATGGCCATGGTTAGCATAGGCCTTTAAACCCTAAGGCCAGTATTACTAAGCTTTTGTGCTAGGGACCATGATAACTTTCACTCCTCATGCATATGTCTGACCCATTCAGTTAAACAAGCAAATGATTTTTCCTGATTGAAATAAGAAAAAGGATGATCCCGTATTTAGCAAGAAAAAAGATTCCAAGAAATGTTATGCAACAGAAACTTGTTTTTTCTCTTTTTCTGATATCTATCACATCAAGGCCTCAAATTCATTCACAACTCCTTGTGAGGGTCCCGAATCTCAGATGAGGAACCAGTGCAACAGGTGGCTCTTCCAGATTCGTTATTATATTTAAAGCTTTTTCTTAAATCTGACTGTTTAGGTTTAAAGATATAATCAAAGGAATTAGGATAATACTAAAAGGTAATGATGTCAATTGATTGATCTTTGTGAACCACCTGGCAAAACTGCATTTTAATCATTTTATCTTAGGCTGCTGTTACACCTTTCCCTGGTATAATTGGGCATGTTGTAATAGTGGAACTCCTTGTATTTGACATAGATTAATAATTTTTTTCTGTAAAAATGATTATGTTGGAACCATTATACAAATTCAACAGCTGTACTCAACAAATCAGGGAGATAAAGGTGCTGAGACAATAGGTTTTACAGCCATGACTGTCGATGCCATGGCGATAGAGTTAAACTGGAGTTAAAACATGCATTTCAATTAAATTCCTTTTTTATTTTACAAAACCTTTGACAGTGATGTATTCATTTTCAGGTGGTTAGGTGCCATAATAAATAATATAACATGAACAAAAGTACAAAACGTTACAGTTCCGGTCAAAACTTTCAAAATAAAACGTTGTTGATGATCCAACTATCTACACGCATAACGTAGCCTACATTGATAAGAAACATTGTCGCTTTACTTAGATTTTTATATAAATAGCAACCAGGTGTTTATTTAAAAGTATGCTGCTCTGTAGATAGGCCGACGACATCACAATATGAACTTCAAAATATATTATTTTGACGGCGAAATCGCCCCACTTCCGCTATTTTCTCTTCTCCAGCGGCCAGCCGTTCAACTTCACGAATATCCATGGTAACCACAGTAGCTATACACCATGTCCGTTAATCTCACTGAGTGAACCGTTACTTTAAACAGCCGGGGATTTATGGAGGAATAAAGACGAATTAAAAATAAAGTAGATTCAGTTAGATATTTTGTTATTGAGAGTCATGATGCCCTCACAGAGAGCTCGCTATGGATGCGAAGCAGCGCGAAACACTAAATGGAGAGTGGCAGGTGAGTCGATACCCGGATTGAAATTATTTAGTTAAAATATTTAAAATCTTCTAAGGAGTCATAGGGATAGCATTGTATTACACAAGTATTTTAATCATACAAATTATAAATAAATTAAGATATTTGTCCAATAAGTTATTATTTATGTGAGGGATGGTCATAGGCTACTTATTAAATAATAACATTAATAATACCAATGTAATGTATTTTTAATACATCAATACTTTAGAATGTTTGAAGAGATAAAATATGTTCAGGAAATTAGAGCATATTAAAATTAACCATTTTAAGCCTGTAATTAATTATATAATATCAATATGATCATATGCCATATGCATTTTTTGTTGAATTGTTATTCTGGTTTTCCTTACCCTGAGACTGCCAAGGCACACNTTAATGCCTTTAGTTACTTTACAGATCTGGATGAATGATGTGAAATATAATCAAGTCTTAAATCAGACTTTAGTTCCATCTGGAGTAAATTCACAAGCTACCCTGCAGTATACAAAGTCATTCAAACTAGCTGTACCTTTACCAGCTTTGATAACACTTTAATGATCAATAATTATAAAACTTATCATATATATTATTCTGAAATGGACCAATCTGCACAATGAATACTTTTACTTTTGGTACTTTAACTATATTTTGATAATACCCGGATAAGCCCCGGATGCCCAGGCCAGCAGACGCCACTGTTGCAACCACAGAGATGTCATATGTTAGTTATCGAGCTTAAGTTTTGTTTGACTGATCCGACAAGCTGTTTATCCCTCTTTTAAGACTTTCAACTGCAAGATGTAGCTTCATGGTTTATGGCCTTTCCTTCCTAACAACACAAATCAGAATCAGAAAAGTGTTATTTGTATATACAAAAGTTCCATTAAGTTCAATACCATTATTAGTTATTGTCAGGAATTATAAAAATGCTGTTATGCTACATAAACATTACACCCTTATTTTTTTGACACTCATGACTCCAGCTCTATCTTCCTTCACGTGTAAACACACACACACACACACACACACACACACACACACACACACACACACACCCGACTAGAGACTCGACGAACGACAACGACACACACACACACACACACACACACACACACACACACACACACACACACACACACACCCACCCCCCTCTGTTCTCAGGCAGGCTAGACGGAGGTCATTAGAAGTCAAACAAGAACAAAAGCAAGTGGAAAACCAGAGGAAGAAGGGTCACAGAGGAGAAACGTAGTGAAGCATGTAGAGGGGGCAGAGAGGACTAACTTAACATACGTTACAAACCTCAACCCCCCCACCCATTTTTAAAAAATCAATCCCTCCCCCCAGACTCAATCTGTTTTTCTTCTCGTCTCTCTCACAGTGGGGGATTGTTCTTCCTCCCCCTCTATTGACTCTGCCTTTATTCTCTTCAGCTTTGGTGTATTTACTGTTGCTATCCTTCTCTCTATTAATCAAGGGTTAAAACATTTAAATTCCCTTTGTTAGCATGATCATGAATGAGTACAACATTGCCAGTGGCATTCCTTTAACAAGTCTTACATTGTATGCATTAACATTGAGAATGTAGGGGAATACATTCCTTTGCACATATAGACTAACAAATGAATGCAAACGAAACATAAAACATTCCAACTCTCATTCAAATAAACTTGTTTTGCACGCTAGACATTGTTGTGAGATGGTGCTGTGGAAGCTATTCCGTCTATTGCACTAAGTATGACTTAGTTGTTTTTATGTTGAATACATTTTATGTTGCATTGTTGGAGGAGCCTGAGAATGAATACTTAATTGCCAAAATCACGCTATGGCTTCCTGTACACAAACCACTTATAACACTAATAACTGAATACAGCCAAAACATAAGATATTCTAATTCTCAGTTAAATGTACTTGTTTTGCGTGTCAGCTATTTTTGCAAAAACAAATATGACACTCTCACTAACGAACTAACATGTTGCCAGTGGTGGAGTGCAGTGAAGTACACTTATTACTAAGGACAATTTTAGTACTTCTAAGTACTTTTAAAGTAATTTTATACGTTTTACTTCTGCTCGACTACATTTAGGAAAAGCTTTAGTTACCGGTAACCTTTCAGAATATATTTCATTGAGATATCGAATAGCAAAGTAATATATATGTGCTCCACTTTTACAAACTGTGATTTAAGGCATCAATAATCATAATATAGTGTATATATATTATTATGAAATAGGCCATTATTAATAATAACATTATTTTCTCTTTTGGTACTATATATATATAGTATCTTTCACTGTCAATATCTACAGATATGTAATTTTCACTGTCGGTATGAGTATATTTTACTAGTTATTTTGTAACTTTCGATTTTTCCATTGTATGTTTATCTTGGTTTATTTTCTAGTCTTTTTAATTTTCACATAAGGTGCAATGCCTTGTTTACACCTTGCTGTAACGGAGACAAAAATCCCAAATTGGGAGCAATGAAGTAAGCGAAGGGCAAGTTAGTGATGACAATACTTGTACTTTTACTTAAGCAAGATTTTAAATGCAGGAACTTTACTTGAAGCAGATGTACAATTGGTATTGGTATTTTTCCAAGGTAAATTACTTGTAGATCTTCAATTTTGCTTATTCTCTCTCTCTCTCTCTCTCTCTCTCTCTCTCTCTCTCTCTCTTCTCTCTCTTGTCTCTCCTCGTCTCCACCTCCTTCCTCCCTTTTTTTGCACAGCCTGATCACGTCACGAACAGCCGTGGTAAACCAGCCAGTAGGATTGCAGCGCACCGCGTGGTGCTGCTGACTATACTCCCGGTGTCTCTTACCCTCTCCACAGTCTGTCTCTCCCTCCTAGCTTTGCCTCTCACACCCTCACACAGTCTCTCTAGCTCTCCACCCTCCACTCTGCTGCAAACATGGTCGATGTTTTCGTTGGCACCTGGAACCTGAAGGATAGTGAGAAGTTTGATGAGTACATGAAGAAGCTGGGTAAGCATGTGTTTAGGCTGTGTTCGCGCATTTGTGATGGGCAGCCAAGGGATGATGCACGGCTGCCAGTACTGCATGCGAGCACATGTACAAATTAGCTACGATAATAAGGAGTGTTTTGTGCTAAACCTGTTTAAACAGCCATGGGACATGAATGGAAGATAAAAGGAGAAGGGCTAAACAAGGGTGGAACCAAGATTGAGAATGGAGACAAAAAAACTAGGTGTCCATATTTATCTAATTCTATTCATATGTATATAGACTCCTGCATTCACTTGGTCACCTACATCATTTTCTGGCATATTTAATCATAGTTGACTTGTATATGGTTTACTACCTTAGTTCTATCTTATCTTATTACTTCCACATTGGTGTTACAACATAATCTTGATTTCAACTCTGTTTCTTCTTGCACTATTTTTACTGTTTTAATTTACATTTGTACTGTTTATGCTTACATTTATGTGGCATTGTTAGAGGAACGAGGGACTTAAGATTTTCATTGCCGTAACTACACTGTAGCTACTGTGCATTTGACAATAAATCCTTTGAATCTTTGAACAGAGAAGAGAGAAAGAAACAGGAGAGGATGGGAACCAGAGGGGGAGGGATAAGAGGAAGAGTGGTTGACCACATGGTGCAGCTTGAATAAGGGAGGGGCCTTCCTTTAGTGGAGAGCCCCCATCCCCCCCCACCAACCCCCACTGTGAGAAACGCTGAATGGTAACAAGCTGGCATTCACACACTTGAGCATAATGTGGGTGACCTTCGCTGAAAGCCGTTCATTGTGTCAGGCCATGGGAGGAGTTGAATATTAAGGTGGTCCCAATGCTCAGGAGCTAATTGGACGACATTGTATGTACGGATAACTTGGGGACCCAACTATCACACGCATAGTTTGGCATGTGTGTGTGATGGGGGCTCTGAATTTTACTACCGTGAAGAATGACACTGCACTGTTTGACTTTGCGAGTGAGAGATTCATGCCCGCTGACCTCAGAGCCATATGAGCGACGACCTGTCTGCTCTACTCAACACAGAAACCCTTCAACCTTTCACCCTAATCCTCCTGAGTGATGACACACACACACACACTTGGGAAAAAAGCTGTTTCAGCTCTTAGAGATAAACTGGATCGTCAGCTAATAAAAGAGACCTGATTTTCTCTTCTATTAAATATGTGAGTCACTATTATTCAATCAAATGCTCTCTTGATCTATCGCACACACACCCACCCTAAAATAAACAGGACTAATGACTTGCACAAATGCGTGCCCAGACAGGTCAATGGGACCATGCACTGTTTGAAGAACGTGCTGCTGCAAGGTTTGACTGAAGACAAACAGAGATTAGAGCGTGAAGGAGAGCCAAAGGACACATACATGGCTACGTTTTTTTTAAAATTATTATCAGCTATTATAATTTATATTCATATTTTCGAAAAATATAAAAAAGAAAGCAAACAAATGAAACCAAAAAACATACTTCAAAAACAAATACAATTTTAGTATGATGACTTCACTCTGATCTAGCGGTCATGTACTTTACTTGATTACAAAAGACGTTTGGTTTCCTGCTAACTGGCCTGTATATTGCTTTTGTTGGCGTTTAGCCTAATGCTCATTGGCAGTTGAGGCAAGGCGTTGCCCGTTTATTTGATCGGGGCTTGGCTTGTGCATCAAAGCTACACTATCCTTAATATCCTTCCCCAGAATATTTCATTTACCCATGTGTCTTTGTTTTCTACAGGTGTTGGCTTCGCTACACGCCAGGTCGGGAACGTGACCAAGCCCACCACCATCATCTCAGTGGAGGGAGACAAGGTGACGTTGAAGACGCAGAGCGCCATCAAGAACACAGAGCTCTCCTTCAAGCTGAATGAGGAGTTCGATGAGACCACCGCTGATGACAGGAAAGTCAAGGTGAGAGGTCAAAGGCACATCAGCAAATACTACCAACAATCAAGAGCGAAACCTACTTTTATAAATGTGTGATCTTATGTTACCCATATGTTAATAAAATACTGCATCCATAAATATATGACGAGGATAATCAGTCATTAGAATGCTTCATATAAGAAAGGACTAGAGAAATCCTTATTTGTGGCTCATTGTAAATCATCGTTTTTATAATCTCTGCCAGAACTTTAATTCCCAAAATGAGGCAGGGCAGAGGCAACAATAACCAGTATTTAAAGGTGGGGTAGGTAAGTTTGAGAAACCGGCTCGAGATACACTTTTTGTTATATTCCATGGAATGCTCTTAACATCCCGATGGCAATGAATATCTTAAGTGCTTTGACAAAAAATCCATTAAAAAACATCATCTGTGGAAGCCGTAGTACTGTAAAAAGCACGACCAATAATTTTAAAATAAAGTAACTGGATGGCCTACCTGTCTGTCAGTCTTCCATCTGTGCACAAACTTATCTCGTGCCCTCATTGGTCATGTGCGCGTTCGTGTGTGTTGGAGGAGGGGCTCTGTAAGGAAGTGGCAGATTTTTTCCGGCTATGTATTTTCAAATTCTAGCGCACTCGAGCTGGTTTCTCCAAAATGACCTACCCCACCTTTAAGTATCAAAAGTGAAAGTGTATACCCCAATTGAGTGTTGGATTATTAATAAATGATTGGCACATTATTACTGACTCTAGAGTGACACTATTTACATTTAGAGAGAAATAAATCATACATTCTTGCTTTTACAAGCAATAAGCTACATTTACAAGACGTAAAACACCCCAATGAACTTATGTTGGTTATGTTAGCCAACATTATATTACAAATATATATGGATTATAAACTACTTTTAATAGATATCACTGTTCAGCTAAAGCAACATTTTGAAGTTTAAGTAAGTCACATTTATACTCTGTTATAGCTAGTCATATAGTTGTACCTATACAAATGTGAAATCTGCAAGGTAGGCTGTCCAATAAATGTAGTTGACTAAAAAGTAAAGTGCTTGTTTCTGATAATTACTGAAATATAGATATTAAATAGCCTCATGAAATATAACCCTCAGCTAAGCAAATTCTATTTAAATGCATTTTTGACATTAAACGGCCCATTATCTTGTATATGTAATAATCTCCCTTTTCCTTGTTCCTGTAGTCCTTTGTAACAGTTGATGGTGGGAAGTTGGTGCACACCCAGAAGTGGGACGGCAAAGAGACCAGCCTGGTCAGGGAAGTCAACGGCAACAGCCTCACACTGGTCAGTGGTCACACCAAATGCATACAATAAAAAATAAATCAAGTGTGTTTGTTGTATTCAAACGGTCTTTTTCTCTCCATCACAGACACTAAAAATGGATGATGTCGAATCCATACGTCGCTACGTTAAGGCAGAGTAAATCCCAGCACTGAAACATCCCTCCAGCATCTTCTTGCCACAGCTAAAGCCCCTGCGACCCCAAAACAGAACAATAAAACCTTGTATGGTTGCCGCAGGTTCCCCTCACACTGTGCTCAGTATTAACATCACGGCCCATTGTAACATCCCTTCTCTCCATATCATTTTCTTTATACTTTGGTCCCTATACTGCAAGAAACACTGAATAATTTCTGATGATTTGTTGTTGTTTTGCTCTCTAAAGATCCAGTTTTGGATGATAATTCTTTTTTAGAAAATGTTTTCTGCATGGTGCCTATGATAAACTTGGTTAAGTGTTTGAATTTCAACGGTTGTCTATTGCAACGTGAACAACAAATAAAGTGTCTACACTGTTGGACAAACTGTTAAACCAATCAAACGGCTCCTGGTTGTGTTTGAGGTGTTTAGTGTTTGCACATGGTTGATTATGGTTGAGATCAATAGATGATAACAGAAAAGGATTAGGCACTGTCGTAATTCAGTGCTGAACTTGAGTGTTCAGTCAAGTTTAATGTGACTGTGTAAAAAAATCTGTAGCGCAACACCACTGTACAAGTATATCTACAGAATGTGACCAGAGTTTCCATCAAAGCTTTTTTTACAGGGACTCAGTTAATTATAGCTCCTCAGCAGCTCGTGTGTGTGTGTGTGTGTGTGTGTGAGAGAGACACACACACACACACACACGAGCTGCTGAGGAGCTATAATTAACTGAGTCCCTGTAAAAAAAGCTTTGATGGAAACTCTGGTCACATTNGTTTTCCCTTGAGCGAGGGCAGATCACGTACTAATCACGGCCCTCGCGTTTCAAACTTTCTGAAATGAATCGCTACATCTGTAGTTGCACCTGCAAAGTGAATACAGCTGGTACAAGAAAAAGTGTTTGAATGCGTACATTAACAGGTTTATGATATCACTGCCCCGTCTAAGACACGAGTGGATCTGACTTTAATTACATTTGACTCGAGTGTTTCGTCAACTTAATGTGTTCCTTAAAATAATACTTCTGCATACAGTATGTGACACTGTGAGTGTTGTACGGCCAGATACGGCTCGGCTGACTCAGATAAGGAGATATATGATACATTATGATGCATGTGATATGATATGAATGATAATGGGACACATCGACGTCTGCACTCACAGTGCCGCGGACTGTAGGCTACGTAATGTTACTTTGATCTGGTTACTTATGTTGTGGCAGATATTTAATTAAGCTTTCTTAACATAATAGTATAATAATAGTTATAATAGTCCGATTGCTCTGAAGATGGGAGGTGATATTCTATTCATTTTCACGTTGACACAGTTGGTGATTTTGGCCGGCCGTCTTTCCTGCAACGGCAGTTTAAACTATTTCCTCCGCACACTGAGCTCTGATTGGTCAGCAGGCGTGGTGCTTTCGCTGAGTTGATCTCTTATCCTGGAACCTATCCTGCTTCGGAGCACAGACTAGGTACCAGAATAAGTCACCATGGAGATTTAGCCCGCTAAAAAGTGAACCAGCTTCGTAGTCCCGGAAATCCCAGAAGTTATCTTGCTAAACGAAAATCCTGCTTTGTAGTATACCCCTCAGGTTAGCCGTTCAGCATTTGTTACCATGGAGATCTAGCCCGGTAAGAAGTGAACCAGCGTCGTAGGACCGGAAACCCAGAGTTTTCCCTTTAGTTAGCTTGCTAAGCGAAAATCCGGCTTCGTAGTACAGGCCTCAGGAGCTGACCAGTCTCAAAACATAAAAAAAAAACAGCCTGCCAAGTGATCATTCACATAGGTACTCATGCTTTTTTTGCAGCTCCACTTTTCATTGAGAAACAAGGAAATGTTAGCTCTGTATTCCTCTGCTGCAAGTGGTGTAAAGTAACTAAGTAGATGTACTCAAGTACTGTACTTAAGTACAATTTGGGTGGACTTCTACTTTACTTGAGTATTTCAATGTGTTGCCAATTTGTAACGACCCCACTACAATCCAGAGGAAAATCGTGTACTTTTAATTTGAAGATTTTGTTAAATGATGTGAAATATAATCAACACTTAAATTAAACTTGAGTTACACCTGGAGTAAATCCACAACCCAACCTAACCTGCAGTATACAAAGTAGTTCAAATTAATAAAGTATTTTGATGTCAATACTTTTGTACTATTTGTATTTGCAATACAGGCCTTTTATTTATAACAGTATTCCTAGACTGTGGTATTTCTACTTTTACTTTAGTGCAAAATATGAGTACTTCTTCCACCTCTGTCAGCTACAGCTTGAGATCAGAACACCCGGAAATCCACAACACTGCCTTTCCTCAAAGCGAAACGCACACGGCTTGTAAAGCTACAAGTTCTAACTTAGCACACCGAAGCATGCACGGTGTTCCACAGTCTAACTGGGTTAATCATTATTCAATACCGGGGATCAATGCACCGCATACCGGGCACAGACAGGGGTGTGACAATACGAGCATTTAACCTGCAGCTAGCAGCAGATAACGTGAGGTGTCTCAGACTAAACATTTCCCTCCTGACAGACATGACACATCCAAATGTAAAAGCATACTTAATAAAGGTTTCTTCACGGTTACCGGGGTTTCCTTTTCATGCATCCGCCCCCCCTTACCCACAGTCTCAGGACCTGTTATGAAGGGTTCAATGCCCATGTCTACCAACAATAACACGGCCTCCCGAAACAAGCTCGAACCGGTGACCAAATACGGGCTCTATACAATGTTTTCAACGTCGGCATTGGTGCCCTAACATCCCCGTGTTGTTTTTAATAGACACCCGGGGATGTCTACCTGTCTGCCGAGCCTGCAGCCCCACAGGTCCCCCGTGACGCGGATGCTAACAAAGGCCCGAGAGCTGCTGTCTGGAGCGGAAGACCGACACAACGGGAGGAAAGAAGCAGGCAGCAGAAAGAGAGGTAGCCGCTACTCCCGCACCAAATACTACTTTTTACCCCCTCCCTGAACCACCATTGCAACAATACCGGCACCGATGCATGGATAAATAATCCCCCTATGTATCGCGACCGGGTAACAGGGGGTACTCACCGGCGGAGAGGGAGGATGGACGCGGATTTCGGCCCCAGTGTCTCTCTTACACCCCAGGCTTTCACTCCGACAACATGGCCGCTCAACGGAGGAGCAGGCGAGAGCGCTGCATGACGGGAAGGGATGAGAGAGAGCGTGCGGTTCATTGCGCCAACCGGGAGGGGAGGGAGGGCCATACCGGGACCGGTCCTTTGTTATGTTCTGTGTTTATTTTGCATTTTGATTTTACTTCATTCATATTTTTATCAATACACAAAAAAAGAGCTTTAAAAAAAAAAGAGCATTTGCCACACAGTCGTCTGTGTGATTGGTCACTAAAATAAACTACAAAAATAACAAAAACATGTTATTATTATATGTATATTACCATAGTGTTTTAGTGGTTCTTACGGTAAATAGAAATGCTAATATCCACTTTACATGTGGATATTATGTGATTTTATTATCGGGGGTTGGACACAGCGTCTACCGGGGTCTCTACGGTAACGGGGAGCTTGGCAGCCATGGCAACGTGCTGCGCCACACGGTCAGCAGTGAGCGGCTGCAAGATGCTCTGCTGCACCTGCGGAATGTGAGAGGATGGTTTGTGGCCTAAATAACAACAAAATACCCTTTTTTGGGTCTTTGGTAAGGTGCCACTAACAACCCCTAGTCTGCAGACTGGGGTAAATAGACTGCCCTAAACCGGTAAGTGGGTGACGTAATACAAAAAGATGATAGCAGCCCAGTAAAAAATAATCTATGGTAGCCTAATCATATGGAAATATTAAGGGTAGGCTGATTAAAAATACTTACGTGGTCCAGTCATACTGGATTGAATAGCCTGAAGTGTAGTTCGACAATAAAATTAAAGTTATAAAGTAGCCTACATTTGGTAGCCTACTTACATAAAAGTGGATCCAGGATAAATCTTTTGTCTTGCACCTCACAACTCACAACAACAAAATCACCTATCTGCCCAATGCCACTTACACAGGCTCATTGTTTTAGTTTTATGTTGTGGTTGATTTGTTTTGTTTATTAAATAAAAAAATCGTTTAAGCAAATTAAACTTGAATTACCACGGTCATCTGTAGTAAAGTACTTCCTGTAAAGGATTGCACTTTTTATAGCTACAGGGCCTTGTATAATCATAAACCAAGAAGAAAACAATACAATAATGATCTTTCTTTGAAATGATTAGGAACATAAAATCTAAATTTCTAGCGTTTAATTATTACCATTTAAGAGGAACTTAAATGAAAGAGCTACGGTGAGCTCACTTTTTTATCACTGCAAGAATAAACTAAATCCCTTTATGATATCAAAGTACTATTTTCTAATGTGGGTCTTTTAGGTTTATGTTACACTGTGCTGCAAAACCAATTTCCCTTAGGGCCTATGTGGACAAATTAAGATGAAAGTAGATTTTTTTTTAAGTCGAAAAACGCATCAATATAAATGTACAACATATCAAATCCTCATTATACAATATCAGTTTATAGAAACTAACCAAAATAATCCAGCAAACATGTCATTCTGTGCACCTTAATCCAAATATTAAAATAATGTAATCAAAATTAGGAATAAAAGCACTCATTTGAATGTGTGTCTACAGATGACAACAAAAGTGATATTTAATGTAGAAAGTGTATTTTTATTATTTAAAACTTCTCCCTACACCAAATAAGGGCTTCACCTCATACCTGTCCCCATGTTCTCCTTTGTGCGTTCAATTAAAATTACAATAACACTTGACCATGACGTTATGTTTCTCTCTGGTCTACTTTATGGCCGTTCTTCTGTGGAAATCAGTGAATGAGTTGCAGAGGTGAATGTAGTTTTTGAAAAAGATTGAGAGAATTTGCTGCAGTCGGGATCAAAGAGGGAAGCATGACGTTATCAAAAAAGGGGGAACAAGAGAAACAGGTATGAAGACAAAACTTTTATGTGTACCAATCTTCCCCAAGACCTACCCGCCCCCTAATGCAACCCCCCCTTTCTAAATGTAACCAACAAAACAATCATTGGCTGGTTATTTACATGCACAGTATCCCCACTGCTCCCCCCCAAATAGACACACTAATGCCTGATCCCAAAACCATCTGCATCCCTTAGCTTCAGCATTACATGTACAGTAGGCTGAGTTTATTTTCCTGAAAACTAAATATCCTGCCAAAGGACATTTGGCTGGATTTTTTGCTGAACTTTAAAGGATAAGTCTGGTGATATTTTGTGTTTATCTCATTGTCAACCAATCGCATTAAAACACCAAAACCAACCATGAAATTATCCCATTGACTAGAAGTCAGAGCCTGATATATCTCATTCCTCTGTGATCCATTGGTGTAACATAA